CGAAATCATGTTTACAAAAGGGACTCGCATTAATTTACCAAATGAGGTAATAATAACGTCTGAGTCCTACAGATAAATTGTCCTTTTATCGTCGAGAATTGCGAGGAGCGGCGCTGATAAAATATCAGGATAAAAGAAAAACAATTTAAGTGAGGATTCGGATTAAGAAGGAAAAAATAGGACGACGAAGGGATAGAGAGAAATCAAAGATGAATCGATGATTGGAACGATTATTTTTTGTAGTTTTTTTCTATGCTATTTATTATGAAAATATATAATACAAAACTTACTATATGTAGTGTTTACAATAATAAATATTGTGGTCAATATTACTGGACTGCAAGTGTACAGGTTCTTAGAGAAAGACAAAAGAATAAGAACAAAAAAAAATGTATATATATACTGCAAGCTCTGCACGTTGTCCAAAGTGTTCGGAGCGCATTCACAAAATGAATTTTTACATAACAGATGAATAAATATAATAAATAGAGACAAATAAATACAATAAATAGAGAATAAGTACATAAATGAATTAAATAATATATAAATAAAATTAATTACATAATAAATATATAAATTAATTACATCATAAATACATAAATTAATTACAGGTGAGTTGATCAAATTCAATTAAATCATTTGAAATTAGGACAATTTATAAGTAAGTATTATTTTTGTTGTTGTTTTTGTTGCAAATATATTCGGGTTAATTTTATAGTTTGAATGAAAAAATCTCTCCTCGGCTTTGGCAAGGCTGGCTACTCGATGCCCACGTGCTAAACACGCAGCGCACTAGAGCACTATATAATATATAGTTTCATATATAATATATACTCTTTAAATACTTTTAATTTACAATATATAACTTCTTTTTTTTTTCGTTGGAACTGAAACTCGTTTATTCGTCGAATCGTGGTGAACAGAAAGTAAAAGAAGAAGAAAAAAACAACTAAACGCGTTTCCTCCTGCGACTACGTTTCTAAGTCGAAAGTAAATGAAACATTGAACAATATTGCTTTGATTATTTATTAGTATTACGTCGTCGACTGTTTATTTTTACGATACTCGTATTACGATATCTATTGCTGTTCGCTAAATATTGCTATTAAGTTTATAAATAAGTTAATTACTCTTCATTACTTCCTTCTTCAACTCATCTCCAATACAATCTTCGTCTTCATCATCGTTAGGCAGGCTGCTAAATGCTATCGTCGTTAATCAATAAGTAATTACCATTACAAAGTATTTATTTTATACCTTCTTCACTTTTTCTTCTTTCGTTTTCGCTTTTTTTTTGTTTGTCATTACATATTTTCCAAAAAAAAAACAATCGAACTCGGAAAGCCCCAAAACAGAAACAAAACAATATCTTCATATACAATATATATATATAAATCTTCCCCAATTTTTGTACTGCGCACATTTCCGAGGCTCACTTAATTAATTACTTTTTTTTAATTTTATTTCCCCCATCTAGTAAAATCGAGTCACTAATATATTTATATAATAATAATAATATATATCATTCTCTTCATATAATATATTATTACTTATTTATTCACTTCGTTTTTTTTTTTTATTACTTTAAGTTTCTATATTGCTATGTTTCACCGTGCGGTTGAGGCGATTTCGTTCCCAAAAAAAAAAAATAAGAATTATAAAATAATCACAAACTTTTCTTCGTTTTATACATTTTTTTTTTGGGAATAACGAACCCTCATTCCGCACGTCTACTGTGCTTTATTGCTTTTCGAATACCCGGCGCATCCCGGACAAAGAACGAAACCTTCTTCATTCACTCTCCAAGAATCACGAGAAATAACAAAACAGAAAATTTTTAATATATATATATAAAAAAAAAATATATATATCTAATCGAACGAAAGAGAAACAAACAACTACGGTATAATAATTAAATATTATAATTATTAGAGCTACCGGGATTTATTGCCTGCGAATTTTTTAATTAAATTTAAAGTTTTTAATTTATATTAATCATTATTTTTTTTTACTCAATAATTTTTATTTATCTTTTTTTTTGTTTCGTTTTATAATAAATTTATAAACTATATATGCATATCAAATAACTTCTAGAAAATACTTTCCTAAAATATTTACTTTTTTTTTGTTCGTTTACATCATTTTTTCTTTTTTACATTTCGATCGGTATTTTTGTTTTTTTTTTCTTTCTTTAGATGCTCTCTTTATACAAAATCAAAGGAGAAAATTTCGCGTACCTGTTAACTTTTTCTTCGTTTAACCGTTTCTCACTCATCTACTGTGGCCTAGGATACTAATTAATAGTAATAATAATAATAGTTAATAAGGATAATACTTAAATCCTATAAAAAATTGTATATTAATAACTTGGTTGCGTTTTTCTTAAATTTAACTTTCTTTCCTCCTTTCTTCTTCACCTAATACTTACATAATAGTTACATTTTGTTTACTTATCGGAATTTAGGCAGAGAAATAGTTTTTATTTATATTCTTTTTTTTTTTCATTTAAACAATTGAGGTGTTCTTCTTTGAGTATTTTTTTCTTGTTTTTGTTTTGCTTTTAATTTAGTTTCGTTGTTCATTCTCCGTTTTTAAGGCACCCGTCACATCGTTTAATTATCTTTAATAATATATACTTTTTTTTTTGGTTTAAATATTTTTTTTTTACTTTTTCTTCTTTATATACTTCATCTCTCGCTTTTTTATATAATATATGTTATTTTTGTTCGCTCTTCATCTTAGAACTTCGTTCTTTTCGTTTCGATTTCTTTAAGCTCTGCCTAATTCTTCGCAAATCCAAGTAATAGAACGGGGGCCCGGGCACTACTACTCTTAAACAGCTTAAGAATTAAATGACTAGAGCTTCACACTCGCCTTTGTTTTGTTTTCTTTTTGTTGGCATAGCGCACGGGCCTATTGCACCGGCCCTAAATACCACTAAATAAAACTTACAGAGAAAAAAATATATTAAAAAATAAAAAGAAAAAATCTGTACAACTTAAATATTAACAAAAGTGTAGCAAAAATATTGCCGAAACTTCGTTGAACTCTCGATTTTCGATTAAATTTTACGTTTTTTCTTCTTCTTTTCTTTCCGTTTACATTTTAATACACAATAATCTGTACAAAATTTTTAAAGATAAAAAAAAAACGGAAAATAAAATCGAAATCATTATTAAACCTTAAAAACTAGATTACCTTAAACATTACACGCGCGGTTTTTTTTATTGCTTACTTTCGTAATCAAATTCCCCCGAAAACGGAATCAAGTTAAAAGTAATTACGTTAATTGACTATAAATGGGACTAGGACGTATAAATACGGGGATTATTCATTACCATTTTCTTTAAATTTTTATATAATATAATTATATTTTTTTTAAATATATTATTTAAATACGATCTAGGTTTTGTTGTTTTAAACGCGAAATGGCAATTTTCAATTGGTGTTGCTAATAATGTTCGTTAGTCGAATATACCTGATAGCGTCGATCGTGGAAACGTCCGAAAAGTTCATTTTCTTCGAATCCCGAACGATTTTTAACACAAATAATTCCGTAAATAATCCGAACGACAAACGCTATATATATATTACTTTAAATATATTTATTTATAGTATATTTATATAAGAATATCTATGAAAAACAAAAGTGAAACAAAAAGAGAGAAAACACTTCGTTTGTTTGCTTACATATCCTAAAGAGTAAATTTATTTGCATGTAACTTCGTTGTTTGCGAAACGTTGCTTTGCATCCGCCCTATCCGGGTTGGGATCTCATTTAAAACAAAAATTACTTTACTTTACCATTATTATTCTTTTACTTTATTTTATTTTTTTTTTGCGGGGCAAAAGCACTTTTTCATATGCTTATATCGTCTGCATATATTTTTTTGTTCATTTAAATTTTTGTTAAATTAATTAATACTACGGTGCATCCGTTCAAAGAAATTCTCGTTTTATATTGTATTTTTTTTGGAAATCGGCCAATTCCAAGCCGTAAATTACAGTATTGCTTGTAGAATTTTATTGCTTTCAATTTTCTTATTTTCAAACAAATACAAAATAAAATCCGCTTAATTGACGCAGCTTAGAAACGATAATTGACTTTGAGCCAGAAATGAATTGACTAGGTACGACTTTTTCTTTTCGTTTTTTGTTTGACTAACAAAAAAAATCGATATTGACTAAAGAATGTTTAGAATTACAATTTTGTAATTATAAATACAATTTTGGTTTTGCGCCTCAATTAACCCTTGCGTCTACAACAATAAATTTTTGCTAACTTAAATTAATTTTCCAATAATTTTATTATTGGTTTCATCACTGCCAAGTTTTTATCTTTGGTTATTATTGACTAACATATATTATTAATTAGATTTATAAATTTGACTAGATTTTCATTTTTCTTTCAAATTTTGATGTTAATGTTGACTAGAGTTTCATTTTCCTTTCTTGTACTATTTTCGTTGTTTTATTGATTTTTATATTGACTAGACTTGAATTTGACTTATTTTTGTATTTATTTTTACAAAATGACTAGTTTTTCTCTTAGTTTATTTTAATAAATTTTGGATATTCTTTGGTGTTGTTCTGTTAGTTTGTGTTAGTAATATAATTAATGTGCTGACTAGACAAGATTTGACTTTGGTTAATTTTTGGTGTTAATATTGACTAGATTTCAAAATTAACATTCATCAAATTATATTTTCCAACAAATTATTGTAAAATTCATTGTAGTAATATAGCTTGAAAAATAATTTATATTTTTGAAATTTTATTGATCTTTGGATGCTTAGCTGTTTTTTTAAATTTAGTGTTAGTATTGACTAGTTTTTCAATTTACTCTGTTATAGTAATATTAATAACAAGTTTTTTTTTGGTATTATTATTGACTAGTTTGTTTTAAAAATATTACAAAACAAAGTAAATGAAATATCTTATATTTTGTTAGTTTTACGTGTTTATATTGACTAGATGAAAAAAATCAATTAAATTGTGTGTCTTTGGTTTTTTTGTGTTAATAGATTTCAATTTTTGGTTTTGTAGTAATTTAAGTAAATAGTGAATTATGTATAGACGCAAGGGTAAAATTTGACTAGAGCAAAGAATCTTTGGGATTTATTATAATTAATATTGACTAGATTTCCATCCGTATGATTTTTTTTTAACTAAATTCGCCGACTTATATCTTCATTGCTTATGGATTGGAATCGTGCGATTTCCGTGGCGTTTGCAATTGGCTTAACGCTATAACTTAAATATTAATATATATATATTTGTTGTTGGTAATATTAATGTTTTTGCTCAACTTGTATAATAATTTAATAATAATTATATAATAATAATAGTATTCTATACCCCAAAGACCTTAGGGTCCTAAATTAGTGGACGTGTTGCGATGTGTATTAATCTCACTGGGAGGGATATTTACAAGAAGGGACTTTTCAGTTCGCGAAGAATCATAGAATATGTATATATGTACAAGGTAAGGTAATAATTTATAATAGTTAGGATAGCCTAAGATACGCGTAAAGGCGCGAAGACTAGAAAGTTCCAAAATAATACGTTATAGATATAGACTAGAGTTGAGTGTACATATATAAAGACTAGAGGTTTTTAGTTACCTATGTAGTACGTTTTTGTTAAGAGTTACGTAACGTCAAGTTAAGTTACGTTACGTTGAAAGCGTTCAGCCCGCATAGACTCTGGTTCCGGTTGGATCCGAGACGGCTGCTGCGGAGGCGGGCGAAAGCGGTTCGCCGGGGGAGGCGAGATCACCGTCGATGGGCGTCAGATCGTCCTTCAGACAGGCGGACTCCAGGTGCTTGTTCAGGTAGGACTTGAGCGCGAAGGATTTGTGGCATCGCGAGCACTCGAAGTTCTTGTCCGAGGAGTGGGTCTGCATGTGGGCACGGAGGTTGGAGCGATCCGCAAAGGCTTTGCCGCAATGGGCGCAACCGTAGGGTTTCTCCCCTGTGTGGGATCGGAGGTGGCCCTGAAGGAGCCACGGACGCGAGAACTGTTTGCCGCACACACTGCACTTGTGCGCCAATTTGTGTGTGAGGACGTGCATCGCCAATGCGGGCATACTCACGTAAGCCTTGCCGCAGGTGATGCACTTCTTCGCCGATTGGGAGTCGAGACTTCGATGGGTCTGTTTGTGCCGCGAGAGGTTCGAGGAGGTCGCGTACTGCTTTCCGCATTCACTGCACGTGTACTTGGGCTTGTCACCGCTCACCGCCTTCACCGCCGCCGGTTCCTGCTGCTGCTGCTGTTGCTGCTGCTCAGGCGGCGGCTGTCGTTTCTTCGACCGTCCGTCGCTTACAAAGAACGCTTCGTAGGTGTACGCAACGGTCTTCCCCGACGACGCTACAGGCAAGTCGGCTTCTTTCACCACATCCTCTTGGCTATGCGGTAGCAAGTGTTGCTGCTGCGGTTGTTCATGTAGAGGAGGTTGTTGAGGCTCAGGAAGTGGAGAAGGCGACTGCTGCTGTTGCTGCTGATGTTGTTGCTGCTGCTGCGGATGCGGCGGCGGAAGGAAAGCCGTGGCCGCGCTCAGATCGAGTATCGCATGAGCGGCATGCAGATCCTCCTCAGCTGGTACTCTGATCTGCGACAGCTGCGGCAACGGCTTGTCCTCCAACGAGTACGGCCTATAAATATCTTTCTTCTTCGGCGGCAAGGAGAGCGCCGCTCCGGTACTCGTGTAACACATGGCCAGAGACTTCTTGCTTCGCACGTAGTTCTCCGTCTCGTTGACCGTCCTCAAAGTGGCATAGGTTTGCTGCGGCTGTTGCTGCGGAGGACTGCTTCCACCCTGCTGTTGCTGTGGCTCGGTGTTACCGCTCACCCGAGTCACGAACGTCGACGTGTAGTTCGTTGGAGACAGCTCCTGCAAATATCCTGCGAACAGAAACGAATCCAATAAAACTTCGCTGTTTCTGCTGATGCTGCCGTTGCAATTACGACCCCAACAGTAAATCTCGCGATAAAGCATTGTGTAATGTGCATTCAACAGTTCGTGGCCATAAAGACAGAAATTACTCCAGCTGCCGCCGACGACGCCACCGCCTTAATGACCTTACATACAGGGTGTTTCGCGACAATAACTGACTTCCCTTTATTACGTGCGCTCTCTCGAATCCATTAAAACTTCTTTTACTGTTTCAACTTGCTCTTTATTTACATCCTCTACACCAAATTCACCAACCATGTCACCATTTATCAAATATTTGACAACTTGGACAATTGTACCAACTTAAATCAAAGTACTTTAATTTTATATTATATAACAAATTATGAATGAACTTTTAAAAGATTTGTACATTGAATAACCAAAAAGTTTTCTTTCCTATAATAAATTCAAATAATATAAATATTTTGTTAATTGAGAAATAAATAATAAATTGTTTAATTATCATAACGGAATTTTTCAATGATTTCATATAATGGCAATCACGTAAACTTTTTTTTATCGCAAATACCTTGAATATTTATTAAAACCTGGTATTTTTATTATCCAATTTGAGAGCACCCGTTAAATGTAATAGTTTTCAATCAATTTTACTGAAATGCTCAACTTAGCATATATTAAGCATTCCATTAAATAATAATAAAAAAAAAAATCTATTACGTTCATTTTACGTCGACCTTTAATCGTAAATATATTTTATAACGCTCCAAGCGCTCCTTAAATTATGCATAACAACTTGTTGTATATTAACTTGCTTCATCTTGAAACACATTTATTCCTTGCATATACATAAAAATCAAGGGTAGATTTTCGACGAAATTAAATATTTTCAGGTCAACAACTTTACACGTTTCTGTGTAAAGGTAACATTTTTTTTTTGACTATTTATAGTTAATCTAGATTTCGTTGCAATTATATTAATTTGCATGAATTTCGAGCGTGCTGACCTTTCGGAGTGGAAAAAAAAGTTAAGATATTCTAATGTTTTCCTCCAAGATTAAAAATACAAACGGTGTTTATTTTTCTGCAGTCGTCGTCGTAGCCTGTTGCATGATCGCGCTTTCCTGGCTTATCGAGATTAATTCGTTGGGTGAAGTAAAAGAATAAAGTAAACGGCGCGAATCTTGAATGCGGGGAGAACGGTAAGTGGTAAGTGTATATCTTCTGAAATATGCATGCGCTATTATTGAGCAAAAATGAAATGAAGAAAGAAGGAACGATAAAAGCGAACGATATTTACGTAAGTTACATTATTTAACGTTCGACCGTTCCGAATCGCTTTCACCGAAGCAGGCAAATATGGTAATTGCGCGCTACTTAGGCATCTGACATTCTTTATTAACATAACTCCTGCAGAGGGGCAAACGGCGTAATGCTCGAATATATATTCCGTAATGTGGAAGCCCCAATGCTCTCTCTCTATATATATATATATCTATGTATTATATATACAGTGGGAAAGGAAAATTGAATATCTTTATCTGCTGCCTGTGCCCGGCGCATCCACTATTTACTATACAACAAGGATTACCATTTCAAAGGCACTCTCGACCTTAGACCTTAAATCTCGATTCCAAATTTTCGGCTGGCAAATTTCCTCCCTTTTTACATCTATGGTATATACAAAGAAAAGAAAAAGAAAACTGTCTCTCTTTTTTTCACAATTACCATAAGCGTTTCTGTAAGAATAGAAAATTATTTCAATCGTTTAATTTATATACATTGAAAATTTTAATTATACATTAAAGTTCTTAAAACATTTAAAAGAAAATATTTATTTGATCTCTTCAAATTAATATATTTTTTATCCCTTATTATAAGTTTTTATCGTTTCCTTTTATAAAATTTATTTAATGGTTTTTATATAATATACGTTGTAAAATAAACAAAACTATTAATGTAATATTTATATATTCCAAAAAATGTAATAATATAATTATAATTAATTATCATGTATATTACTATAAACAACTGTTGCAAATTAATTATTAAACGTACATTATTAATTGAGGTTTGTTAAATATTGCCCGGTGCATGCACCAATATTAGAGTTGTAGCAATGATTATCCAATTAATTAATATCAATATGAAGATGTATATAACATTGATAATGAACTAAATATAAAGTATTAATATATAAATTTATATATTTGTGGTTGTACTTTCTGTGGTTGTACCATAAATTTTGTATATTATTACTTTTACAAAGTAAGTAAATTTTGACATGTAATACTTGATGTAATTGAGAATTGTAAATGTATTTATTTATATAATTTCTAATAATAGTAAATAATAATTTTGTCTAGTGTAATAGTCAATGATCAAACAGTGGTACGAATTTTGTTTGTAGTTGATGTTTATTTTTAGGTGGTTAAGGAAACGGCGTGTTATTTGTTGCTCGGCGACGAAGGTTGCACGTTTCTTGGGGAAGGGAACATCTGTTGAAAGGGCCCGAGGGGGATGACGCGTGCGGCGCGTCCTTTTAATTAAATCAGGGACACGCGACAACAGCTGAACACGAGTCGGTCGGCCCTTTTCTAACTGGAAATATGTACACCCTGCAACAGGGGACGACGACGAGGACACGTACGTGCATGAGGAGCGCGAGGCTCTGATCATAAATTCTATTTGGTTTATTTGGGTCAGAAATCGATAGGGCATTTTACAATTTAGATTGGTTCAGTTATTAATGCATGCTGAGGGGCCGTGTTTGCAATTTGAGGATGTGGTGTTGCTTCTTACCATTGTAGAGGAGCGTGGTGCCATGCGGTGAAGTGGGCGGCGGGCTGGGAGCGGTGGCACCGGCCGTTGGACTGGACGGTGCCCAGCAGGTCGTCGTCGTCGAGGAGACCGGAGTGGCATCGCCGACGACATCAATCTCCTCCTCGTCCTCGTCGAAGCTGTGATCGTGGGGCCGCTCCGGCCACGGATACGCCTTCCACTTCTTCGCCATCAAACAGCGCGGCATGTTTGCAGCTGATGGTGTTGAACGCCTGCTATCGCAAGAGGATCACAACAACAAAGACCGCGAACCGGCACGGCGACGCCGCGCACCACATCAAGAACTGCGTCAGGTGGGAACGATTCCAGATTTCGGCTCTTCGCTCCACGACAATTCCAAAGTTTGTTCTCTCTCTATCTCTCTATTTCTTTCTCTCCCAAATTACTTGCTGTTCGTTTTTGAGTTCTTTTAATTCCTTTCCGTTTTCTGCTATTTCTTTGTTTTCTTTTTGTTTTTCTGGTTTTTAACACGAAGTGTGAGAAGACGAGTGAGAGACAGACAGTATCAGAGAGAGTTTAAGTTTAGGAAGTGTTGAGTGAATTGTGTGTGTTGTAAGAGTGAAGTGGTGAAGAGAACTGAACTGAAACTAAACTAAACCGAACGAATGAACCCCTCGTGTGTCTTTGGAGGGTTCACTCTGCCCCTGCGCCCCTTTATATCGGCACGCTAGGTCTGGTGGATCGGATTGCGCCGACGCCGATTCTCTTCCCCTGCCTGTGCCTGCCTTCTGCTGCCAGGGGTGGAAAGGTTGCCAACAAAAACTCACCACCAGGACCGGCACCGCCACCACCACCATCGCCGCCGCCGCTTCTGCCGCCGCCTCCTCCTCCTCCTTCTCCTCCACAGTCGCTTCGATGCGCCGCGCATCGATTGCACCCTGCAGAGACCTCACCCAACACGTGGATATACCGGAGGACGCGTGCCATGCGATCATTACCATCTGAAGCCACTCAACAGTCGACCACCAACAACAACAACATCATCAGCAACAACCACCTGCAACAAACCGAATCCCCTCATCCGATATTGTTATTAGATTACAACCATACAATTACGTACAACTGCAGTAACAACATACTTCCTATTTACTACCCTTTTTTCCCTTATAATACACAAACTCATCTAAAAAAATAAAAGTAAAGTAATTAGAAGAAAAGATAATCCCCTGTACAAAATTACTTTAATACAACAAATTACACTAAACATTTTCTAAAATTGTTTTACTTTAATAGCGAAACGAATAGCGAATACTTTAAAAACTGAAATACTTCTCAATTTTATATATGTTTAATAGTCTAATTATTGCTTCCAGAATTAATATTATATTTAATAAATTATTAATAATGTCCTTAAAAAAAATTGTTTAAAATCTATTATTATATAAGTTTTACAAGTTTCCTGATTAATCTTAAAAATTATTAAATTACAAATCGGTTTCCGGACTGTTTGAAACCGAATCAACGATATTAAAACTGCATAAAAGGAAACGATCACTTAAAATGTAATAATTTTGTTAATGATTTTTTTAGAATTTATTTATATTTTGTTAAATTAAAATTTAGTTGATTTTGAAATTTTCAAACCGCACTATAGTGCATGGTCCAAGTTGCACTAAGCGAGTCAATACTGTACTTATTTGTGTCGCTTCTTGTTTTCAATTTATTTATTCAAATTATTTAATTACAGAACATAAATATGAACCTTTTATTAACATTCTGTAATTGTCAATCGTTTATTTTTATTTATCGTTTATTAAGTTATTAACTATTAAGAAGTTTTAGTTTAAATTGCATTTGAAGTACGTGCATACTGTGAATCTTTATTGCATTAAGATAAATTGCCATTTTATTTGTCCCCTGTTGATCATGAATATCGACCATCCATTCAACTACTTTCCGCAACACACGTTACTTGACTTTTATGAGACGCCCAAAAGAAAACCAGTTTTAAATATAATTACAATCAAAATCAAATTTAATATGCAAATTAAACGTGTAAAGCAAAAAAAAATCAATCAAATCGTTAGAGAATTGATGAAAAATTTACAAACAATAGGCGTTCCCTTTTTTGTGTTCGTAGCGTACATATTTCACGCCGCCCGGAATTAAAATCGTTTTTTTTTTTGACTGTGTATCAATTAAGGGATGCAATACATAAACGCGAACGTACGTCAATCAATCATAGGAGGCGCGTCGTGCCGTTCGCTTGGATTTCCTTCCCCCTTTTGTTCGCTTAATTACAAGTCATCTTTAAATATAAAGCTCGTTGCAATTGCGACCGTTCATTTGTTGCTCTCTCTCTCTCTCTCTCTATATAACTGTCTCTCATTGTAATTGTAATTAATTAGCGGCCGTAATTAGCGACGGATAAAATTCGCATTTGCACTTCGTTCCACGAAAATGCCATTATTTATTTACATATTCGTCCCGCAACATCGATTTATCTTCTGCTACACTTTTTTTTCTCACTTTTAGTTGATGAACAATTGCATTTCATGCATATCGATTTGTGCTTTGCATCAATATTTCACTACGTGAATTAAAATTTGTTAATTGAAAGATTAGATCCAGAAACGTGTTTTCAGAATCGACGTTGCTGCTGAGATCGATACGAAACATCAAACGTGGTGGGAAAATGCGTGTATTTTTTTTCAGTCATTAAAATCGCGATGGAAACGATGAAGGGTGCAAAGTTACAAGGATAATGTTAATGATGTTAATTACGTAATAAGTATATGAGGGAAAATGTAACCGGAAATGGGAATGGAGCCAGAGGATTTTTGAAGCGTTGTGTAAAAATTTCATCAAGCTTTTCGAGTAAATGAAAAGAATATTTGGGAAAACACGAAACGCCCAAATCTGTCAAAAGATGAAACTGTATAAAATAGTAATATCTTCATTTAATTCTTATTACAGTAAATTCTATTTAATAACAATAGCAGATTAAGGGATTAGAACTTCTAAACAAGTTGAATCTGAAATAAAAAAAAATCTAGTGTTCTGAATAACTTGATAAGCTATATCTTTTATGAAAATGTATGAGATTCAAAAAGCAGATTAGTTTTCAGCTGTAGATAGGAATCAAGAAATAGTATCTGAATATCATGAAGAAAAACTGAATTAACTACAAAATCTGATAAGAAATATTAATAAAAATTGATTTTATATTTAATTTAAACTTGTTATTTTTAATTATTAATCGATCATGCTTTAAATTTTTATCAATTTATATAATGCAAGAAATATTGAAACCAAGAGATATTTGTAAATATAATTATGAACTATGTTTAAAAATAATCAGAGGACAATCGAAAGTCATTGATTAAGAACATAATAATAAACGATAAATACTGATAATTATGGTACATCAAAAAATCGTTAATATGTTTATTTCTAATTAAGTAATTTGATACAAAAATAAAAGGATATACGAATTATCCAGATAAATGGGAAGCCACTAAATATCCTATAATCGAAGACATTAAATGATTTTCCATTAAGAGTATAAACGACCATTTTTATAATAAATATCTCTAAAATTGAATGAAGTGTATGCATTATACAAATTAACTTACACAATGTTTATATCAATATACAAATCCTGTTTAAATCTATTAAGAATCAACTACATTTTTCTTAATGACTGATTTTCTTTTTTTAAATTTGAACTAAAATAAGATAATATCAGAATGTAATCAAAATACTAACAATGTTCAATGGGTATTTCTAAAATGATGCAATTCTTTTATAAGCAATTTAATAATTATAATATAATCGATTATGAATGTATGAAAGAAAAATGTAATTATCGTTACTAAATAATTTACAAAGTTGTATGTTATATTCATGTGTTAATCGTTGTTGTTTGTATAGAAATTAAAAGTTTCAACTTTGTTGTCAAGTTATAATGCACAAGTTATTATACTATTATAACTTCATCAGATATTTACGTACTAAATGTGTATTATATTCAGTGTAAATTTGTTAATTATGACACATTTCTTATGCATTATTTATTGGAATTATAATGATAATACTATAATACAAATTATTATGTGTTTATTTTATTTTTCGCTTTTTTATAATTAATAAAATAAATATTGACATTATTAACATAAATTGAAACTTAGATCTTTGCTCAATTTTTGTTTTGAAAATTTGTGACATATATTATTTTATTTAATCCAAAATGATATAACAGTTTAGAAACTATTTAAATTGAGAAAATTTAAAGTTATGGAGCACTACAGAATTTCCATTATATCAGAATTTTCTGGCTTTACGTGTTTTAAGCATAATCAATGCATCGTAATTATACTGGTGCATTGTTGATCCATGATGAAGTTGTTAGGGCAATGGATCAGGTATCAGGAGGCTGTTGCAAGTGGAACAATTGATTAAACGAAGCGGTATTACGTAGTCATGGTTGTTTTGATTGCACAATGCTATCGGTCCATTATTCCGTTGTTCAGTGGATGACGTTGTGTACATAGAGAGAATATGTGTGTGGGAGAGAGAGAGCGAGAGATGTTGGTTGGTTGGTTACGACGATGCATGCCTTCATCCAGCGGTATCCTGGGGACAGCACATATACGCATTTCGGCGAAGTATCATGATATTACTTTCATAATTTTAAAGGGGATTTGGTTGGGGGTGGCCGGAGTTTGGCATTCGTAATGTTGAAGCGGAATTTAATACTGTTAGATTTCCAGTGGTATCCATTACCATTGATAATTAAGTGTATGAAAATGGGGGGCTCGTGGATTTTGTTGCCACTGCCGCCGCCGTCGCCGCCCCCTCGCATCGAAATGCTTGACTGTAGCCATATCCCCGCGTTCCTGTTAATTTGTATGCAAAGTCGGTTTATATTGCAGATAGCATGCAGCAGTCGGAAACCCGCACACTCACACACGTACACATGCAGAGAGATAGATAGATAGTATGGTGTGCTGGAGAGGGGACGGCAGAGGGTTTATCGCGCGAGCGAGGGGGCGGCGGCCGTCCCCCCGCGCTGCCCCACCGAAAACCGCCGCCTCCACCGTTCCTACCCCCCTTGCGCCGCTCGCTACCGTTCGATCGCAACGAGACGGGCCGCGCCGCTGCAGATACCGACACATACACTCTCCATCCCTCTCTCGCTGCTGCGCCCCCGCACAACCCTCCACGTATCTACCCCTTCCTACATCATAGCACCCTCTCCCTTCCATCCCCAATGCATGCATACTCTCATACACACACACACACTCACTCACGCACACATCCATCTCGTTAGGGGTCTGATGCTGCCTGCTACTGCTGCTGTTGCCGCTACCGCCACCACCGTCCGCCTCCACCCCTGCTTTTATATATCCACTTTGAATTGTGCGGATCAACAGTTGTTGGAGGAGCAACAGAGTATACGCCGCGAAAATTTATGCTGCAGAATTAAAAATGAAAAGATTTATCCTCGTTCTGCCGCCCCCGCTGATGCAGCCACCGACGCCTCTTCTCCACCACACCACCCTCGCACGTCCTCTTCGAAACCGCCCCCCGCGGCCAGCGCTCACCGAGGCTGTAATTTTAATGTCCTATGCTCCCCTGTGTTAATTTTGTATGTAAATTATCGGGGGGAAACCCCCAATCGCATTTGGATTGTCGCA